CGATACATGCGACGTAAAATATAGATGTAGCAAATATTTTGGGTATTGTAAATGTGTATACCCCTTAATATTAGAAGAGGGTTTTACAAATGTCAGGTATTTACTGTGTTGTAATGCTTTCAAGGATGCTCGAGAGTTTGCGCAGTTGAGAGGGCGACTGTGGCATGAAGCTAGTCGAAATGCAAAGACAATGAACCATTCGACAATATCGAATACCGATACCTGACCCCGGAATCGAGCACGTGCATTGAACTGGTGGGTGACTTGAAGTACAATTCACGTAAAATCGTATCCTAGTCAAAAGGCATACATATTGGTTAAAATTTAAATTATAAAACAATTGCCAGCCCATTTCCAAATAAAGAAAAGGGTCGCTCACTTGTCAGGCTGTACGCTTAGCAATTGTCAATTATCCCAACCTTTCTTTTAGCCTTTTCTTTTTAGAACTAAAGTTGGGGGGACAGGACGAGAATACTTTGCAATGCAAAGCAAAGTTTGAACAAAATGCGACATAAAAGGAAGGGGCAAATATGGTTGGAAAAGGAAAATATTTCAAATGCTTGGGTTTACGTAAAGCGGCTTATAAGGCTTTTCAGTTCACCTCACGCTACTGCAGTTGGTAGGAGTCACTGACTAAGGGTTTATAAAATTGTGCGCACGACGGGGCTAATAAACTGCCTGGCATTCTCAGAAAAAAATCCTAAATAAAAGTAAATAAGGACGCCTATCTTAAATACACTAATATTTAAATACTCAGGGACTGAATATGAACAAATAGAAAATAATAAGGGATAGATCCCACATAGTTCCATTACCGTACATATACTAGTTTTACCATAATAAATACATATAAACAGAGATGGCTATAAGGCCCCCGATATATATATATATATAATATATAAATATACTCTTCAGGTGAGTGTATGGAAATAAAGTGACAAGCGGCAATTTACCTTAAAGAAAATGCTTATGCAACAAAACTTACAAAATGACTAACTGAGACACCGACAAACTGACAAGCGGACAGACAAAAGGCAGTCGGCAAAACACTGCGAGGTATTTATAATTAAAAACGTAAACCCTTAAACAACATTTTACTTGGGGCAACAACTTGCGACTGTCTCTCTGACAATAAGGGCGGCGGTGGCGGCGGCGGTGGCGGCAGTGCCAACAGCTGCAGCAGGGGCAGACAGAAGTCAAACAATAAAGCAGACAACAATAATTTCAACAATAACATGACAAATTGTTTCAGGGCACACAAGCAACTGCCTGCCTTGCCTTTGTTTTGCTGTCTCTGCCTGCCTCCTGGTTAGCTAGAGAAACGGAGTAGAACTACTAAAAGCAACCAAACAAAAATCTTTTACTTATTTATGTAGGTGTCGCAGAGTCCTTACTGCCTGCCACTAACCAAGTGCGAGTTGCTCGCTTGGTAAAAGTACGAATACTGCGAGCACTAAGAGCAATTATTAATGACAAACTTGACAGTTTTTTTTTTTTTTTTTGTATTATTATTAGATATTGTATACCAGATATAGCTTTTTGTTTTGTTCGGTAAGTTTTATTCGGTTTCCTTAGAAAATTAAGGAGGCGTCTTGTGTATAAAAACAAAACTAGGTTGAATAAGGGCATTTAAAATATAGTCAAAACTCGATTCCAGTTGTGAAATTCACGAACAAGAAAATTGCATGTGCAGGATTTTCTCCAATTTTATTTTGACTTTATGACCAATGTAATATGTGTACATCTTGAGCAGACCAACCAACCAACCAACCAACCAACCTTGAGTCAACTTTTTGTTTGTGTGCAAGTTATGATGATAAATTTGATTGCAACATGCGCATGTTGCAGTGGCATGTGCAACATTAGCCAGCGAAAAAAAAAAATAATTTGGCAAAAATGCTTCGAAATGTTATTTGGTTTTATTTTTGTTTTTGGGTCGCTATGTCGACGGCATAAATCAATTTGACTGCTCGAAAAGAAATGCACGTAAAATTCAGAACAAACATGAACATTTTGAAATCAACCAGAGAAAAGTCATGTATAAATATGAACTTCAATGATTTATGACAAAAATTCACAGGAAAAATGCATGCTGCAGATTTGAACTTAGTCCATTTTTTTTTAGATAAAATAAAGGCCTTAATTAAAAAATTCCCAAGGGAAAATATAAATGTTGTGCAGCTATGAAAATTGAGCCGCTGGTCGAGTTTTTGTATCTGCTACAATCTTAAAGCCAAGTTCCTGCGGCTGAATATTTCTAGCTATGTTGAATGTCACTTTCATTCATTTGAAATGCTTTTAGGGCTTTGATTTTTACACCACTTGGCAAAAACAAAGCGAAAGTGCGAAACGAAAGAACAATAAAAACATCTGGTAAAATTAAGTGAAGTGAGACTGGGCCAGTGGTATTGAAGTGTTTGTGTGGTCTGTGTGTGTGTGTGTGTGTGTGTGTGTGTCTGTGTGTGTGTTGTTTGTGTGTGTGTTGTTTGTGTGTGTCACTCGCTTTGGCCGCATGTGGCACATGTATGTGCTTGAAGGACATTCAATGGCTGTGCGTATTATGTTAAGCCCTTTCAAATGACCAGTCAGTTCCAGCAGCGAGTGACAGTTCCAGCTGTAGAAGGAGGAGCGAATTCAGCAGCTCTATGGTTGCTCCAGCTACAGCTAAAATGCAGCTTAGCTTTTCACAACACACACTCACACAGAAGAACACTTGTGCTGTGCGTTTTTTCTTGTTGTCATATCCTGTAACTGCAATATTATAAGCTGTATAACGCTGTTGACTTCTAAAGAACGAGCTAGAGCTAGCCAGCAAAGGCGGTTTGCTAAGCTACATTTAAACGCCTACACTTCTGCATGTAAAATGACAGTTTCATAAGGCACATGTTGTTGAGAACATTAACTTTTAAAGATGTAAAGTGATGGATGTTTTGTAAATCGTAAGTCTTAAAATGGAATAAATCTTACTATTTTGTATTGAGCTACAAGCTTTTCTGTTTAGCTTGGTGCACATAAATCCATAACATACTTTTCATCTGTGCACAGTGAAAGATATTAGTAAACAGGGTATTTCATAGATGAGAAATGTTAAAGTATAGCTTAGCTACTTGTTCCTATTTGATCTGGTGTGTTTTTAGCAAATGCTGTAAGTGTAAGTGGGCTTTCATGCAGCCATTTTGTGCAACGCTTAAGCAAACAATAAAGCATAATGAAAGTGTAAAGCTATTTGAGCCAGAAGCAAACCGCAGCCAAAGTAAAGTCTGGCTAAATCAAAAAGAGAAAAATGGAAAAATGGAAAAAAGGGGTCAAATAGCTGTGCCTCGAGTGCCACAAAAATGCACATAAATGTGATAGATATGTGTGCGCCTGTGGCAAGTTCTTATTCCATTTGGCTGCTGCTATATGCACTAACTGCTATTGCACGAAATCATTTTTGTGCAATCACGACTTGCAAGAAAATAAAAAGTAATGCCAGCTTTTGTCCAGCACCAGCAGTCGCAGCAGCAGCAGCAGCAGCACCACCACCACCACCACCCTCAGTAGCTTTTACTGCGATTTACTTGTGTCAGTTGCATGTTGCTCGTCGGTAGTTTGCCACAAAAGCATGAAAAATAGCTGCGTTTTGTGGCAAACTTTATTATTTGTTGCATGGCTGCGCTTGACGCTTCCATCTTGCTGCATGTCGAGTGAATTTTTAACATTTAATTATGAACATGTCATTGCGGTAAGAGGTTTATGAAATGAGATACAATAAAAACGCAACCAGACCAAAAAAATAATAAAAAATACAATCACAAATGCAGAGAGACAAGGACCAAAAAGCAGGAAACTATTTTTTCTCTGATTTTGATTTGCTCGCACAAAATTTGTTAAAAATCTCTTTTAAATGTGAAAATGTACGAAAAGTCACTAAGGACGACAACCCATTTAATAAATATATATGTTCCTTGTTAGCTTCATCGAAAGATTTTATATACATTTACAACCGCAAGAAATTTCAAGTTTATACTTATTCACAGAGCATAGAGTATCTATACTGAGTATAGAGTACGTAGAGTCCCTGATTTAATGTATGAGCATTTAAAGTTTATGTGTATTTTTTTTTGCTGAGTTCAATGTTATTTGAAAAGTTCAAATTGTATAAAAGAAATGTCAAACTGTATGCCATATGTATAAAGAGTAAGAGAGAGAGAGAGAGAGAGGGAGAGAGAGACACCCATAAACAGAGACAGAGAGGGTAATGTTAATGTATCTGCATGGTCGTAAATCACAATAAGTGCGCGCCGCAGAGGCAATAAGCAGACATTGCTCATACGCCGCATTGTTCGCAAGGTAAACTTCATGCAACCCCAATGTGGCCGAGACCCATCCCAAACCGATGCCATTTTTCATGGCACGCCAATCGATAATTCTTTTGTTCATTAAGAAGTTGATAAATCACAGCACCGCTACGTGGGTTCAAGAGTAGCTAACGACTGAAAATGAAATGAATTTCATAGTTCAACCTGGGCCAAATTGCAAACTCAATAAGCTGGTCAGCATAGTTGTTGCCACTTATGTGTGTTTGTGTCTGTGTGCGTGAGTGTATGTGTGTGTGTATGTATATGCTTGGGTTAGTGCAAGCGTGACTAATGTACTTCAAATAGTCTTTGACACTCAAACACACAAGCACGCACACACAAGAAGATAAAGAGAGAGAGAGAGAGAGAGAGAGAGAGAATGAGAGACTCGCTTGGTCCTTAATGCCTCACCTGTTGTTACTTTGTCCAATTGAGGTTGAAATTAACGCATCGTTAAAGCTGCCACAGTTAAGCTGACTTACTGTTTGCTCACCACCCACATTATAAAGCTGCATTAAAGCAATGCAAATTTATTGGGTTGAAAAGTGCAACTCAAACAAGTAACATTTTTATCTTATTAAGCACATTTTACGCAGAGTGAGCTTTTGCGTGAAGTGTCTTTACACAATTGTATATAATATTCAGGAAAGTACCTTTTATTATAGTTCAATATGAAATTTATGCTGAATATGCACTGTATGAACTGGATCTGTGTTTGTCTTGCTTTCTTCTTTATGGGACATTCATAAGCGTTACGCTGTGTAAATAGCAGCTTTTACACATCATTAAAGTAAAACTTCCAGCATCCAGCAGAAACCTCGACTACCAAAAGTTTGGTCTGTTTCGGTCTTATGTTCCTTTTCTTATTTCAGATTATGTGCTTTAAGCCTTTTGTAACTGATTAGATTTCGCGCAGCTACTCGAAGTTGCTTTCAAAAGTTTGTCCATAATTTATCGCTGGATTGTTGGCTCTCCGTTGGCTGGTTTGGTTCTATTGTACACCTGCTGTGCTGACTATTTAAACATTTTAATTGTATTTTAATGAAACGGAAGCCATTTTGAGTGTGCGGCGCTCTGTGCCCTGTAGTGTAATAAAATTATGTTTAGCATATATTAAGCGAACATTTTGAAAAGACTTACAGCTGGACGCAGACGTTGCACAAATTAATGAGAAATTATATACGCCCACGTACTCGCACTCAGAAATGAGGGAACAGCGTTGTCGAGAAGGGGCAAATGGAGTTGCAAGAAACTTGTTGAAGTTGAATGTGCGAAATCGACGCACAATTTGTGATTGCAGTTGGCAGAAGAGTGCGCGTTGTGTTGCATACTTTGGTTATTGCCATTGTTGGCATTCTCTCGGTGTTCCTCTATCTTTTTATAATATACTTTTTGATAGCTTTGTTGTGGTTCATTCTGTGTTGGTGCTGTGGTATTGGCTTGAGTTAGTTACAAACAATTTTATTTTTTAGTTTTTGCGAATTTTTGGTGTAAGCAAGTTTTGTATTAAAAAAGTTTTTTATCTTCTCTTCTACTTGCAGGTAAATGACATAAATTTTTAATTACTAACTGGAGAAAACTTGTCCTCCACGTGGGTGATGGTGGTCGTCGCCGTTGTCGTCGTCGTCAACATCGTTGAAAACTTTTCATCTTTCAGTTGCCGTCAAGTGTCAAGTGTCTGTCGGCCAGGCCAGAGGCAGAACCAAGAGCAAGACCAAAACCGAGACCAACGTCTTGCCAAAAGTTGGCCGTGCAGCTGCAGCTGGGTTATCCCCAATTGTTGCAACACAAATTGTAGTTGCCTCGTCACCCTGCTCTTGGGGTTAACATGTCGGATAGACAGTTGAACAGATGCCTACTCTTGGCAGCTGATAATCAAAACTTGGATGAAGAGACAAACTGCTGCCCCTATATTATTATGGTTAGATTGAAAACTGAATGTGTGTGTGTGTGTGTGTGTGTGTGTGTGCGGGTGAATAGAAATTGAGTTTAGTTAGGATTATGGTGGACCACAAAAAGTTGCACACAATCAGGCAGAAAGGGAGCAGCTTCTAGGCTGCAAATTAGCATTCAGCACATTCATTCAACTCATTGAGGCTTTGCTTTGCGCTTTTCGCTTTTCGCTGTGCATTCTAAAATCCGAAAGGAAGATGAAGAAATAGCAGCTGCTCCCGGATACGGAAATGTGCTTGGCAGACGAAATTATCAAGGGAGCCCAGCGCAACGACAAAAGGAGAGAGGAAGTGTTGCTATTCGACCATGCAATGGCGAAAAGCGGAAGATGTAATTAGGGTAAAAGCAAAATGGGAAAATAATTAACACTTGAGCATAATTAATTGCACGACAAATGACAAGAGCCACGGAAGGGGCTGATCTAAACTAAGTGGAATTCCCACCACTGAAAACCGTCAAGTTTTCTTATCATACATAGTCAACAAATCCCCTGTTCCATGATGTGTTCCCTCGTTATGTGCTCAGTGTAAAACAAAATATTGTTTGCTTTTTTTAAACGGATTACACACGCTCCATTTACCCAGTTGATAAAGATATTTTCAATTGCAATTTACCATGCAGCATGCAACATACCACTTGCATGCCACATTCCATACACGTGGTGTGAAGGACAACACTTAACAGTATCTCGAATTAGGTTATACACAAAATCTATTTCAATTTAAATTCCACTACAACATTTCACAAAATTTGAATAATATCAAAAAATCAAAACATAGTTGCCACAACGATGATGTCAATAAGAAAGTCTGCTTTTGTACTATGTGCAGAATTTAATTAAACCCTGTATTCAACGAGTAGTTGCTTGCACTTTATTTGAGTTAGTTGTTCTGCTAAATAATAAATGTTGCTATATAAACAATAATTTTCAGCATTATTAGCCAGCACTCAATATCAATTGAACATCGGTACTCATTAGTCATTTATTAACAACGAAAGGATATTAATTATTTACAGGGTATTTTCGTAATCTAGTACGAAAACCTATTCATTTTTTTTTTGTTGCATTCTTGTAGTTACTGTAAAGTTGCACTCACATTTATAGTGACATTGATTGTACTAATTAAATATAAATTGATTTACTGTTTAATTGAATTGTTGCTCAATACAACTCAACAATATACGGATATAAAAGATTCCATTGTGGTGCGCACAATTTCCATACATGTGTGTACAAACAGTTCAGTTCATTTCACATTTCATTTCGGATAATAAATTACAATAAACTTTTGCAATTCCCACTTGTATTTGATGTTCGCACTTCAGCAACTCACAATGCCAAAAGTCGGAGCAACATTTGCAAGCTTTCCATTTCGATTTGCTGAGGTTCCTTCGTGATTGATTTTATTTTTACATTTTTCAATATGGCAATTCAACAATAACTGACAGCCATGGCAACAGCTTAGTATAATTCATTCACAACTCGAACTAGTGCCAAATGCTCACAAAATGCTATAACTGGGTGGTTGGGGGAGTTGTGCTCAACTCATCAGTGCTTTGATGTGTTTGATGAAGTAGAAAATGCTAAGAACATTTTCAATGGCGCGCTGCCAATTTAGAGATTATCTCTGAAATCATAGAAATGGACATGAATTGTAATTAAATGCATTAAATATTTAATGAAACCCATAAACCCTTTTTCTGTGTGGCTCAATGACCTTCAGTATTTTTGGGGCCAACGCCATCACTCGCTTTTGTTTCATTTTTGGATTTTTTTTTCACTCGTATTGCTTGCGCGCGCTTGCCTATTAAGTTGGATAAATGAAACAAATATTTATGTTGGCGCCTGTCGGGTTTTCCTTCTTCATTTTTAATTAAAAACATACACACAACATTTTTGATGATTTTTGCGCATTGTCATCAGAACGCGAGGGCTCCTAACGTAGGGCTGTGTGTGTGTATGTATGTGGCGCCCAACGTGGCTCGTTTGTGTTTGCTTATGGGGATTTCAATCAGTGCCAAGGCAGCAGCAGAAGCAGCAGCAACAACAATAACTAAAGAGCTTCTCATTTAATTTAACTGGTACTTCTTTTCCAGTCGCTTGCTGGACAAAAGGCACACAACAATAACAGAGCGACATGACAGAATTTAAGTGATTTTCATTTAGTATTGCGCCCATCGCATTCAGCATCCAGCGTTCAGCATCCATATAGCATTTGGTCGGTCGCTGGTTATCTCATTGCTATCGATTGCGAGCCGAGGCTGTCGTTGTCATTGTCGTTGGCATCATCCTCAATCACAATCAACTGCATCCTTCCCAGGATGATGTTGATGATGATGACTGCCGTCCGGGTTCTCTTCTCGTTCTTTTATTGGGACCAGTGTTTCGGTGACCAATGGATGCAATTCTTGTACATGTACGTGGCTGTAGGTTGCATAAGGAAATGTTCTGAACTATCTGTGTGTATCCTTTTGACTCGAAGCCGGATTATGGAATACGTATGTATATGATAATGTCTGAATATATGGCCTTAAATTGCATGCGAAATTGAGTTTGATGAATTGAGCCTTAAATTACTATCGAGCTACAAAGCCAAAAATGTGCATTCCATTTAACATGTGAGAGAACTCATTAAGAAAATAAAATTAAGGTCAGAATTTTCACGTGGATTATTGTGGAAACGTAATTGAATTATTGAAATTAATTGATTTGATAAACATCAGTGATCTTAAGGTCTTATTTGGGGGTATCATAATAAGGCATCATAATTAAAATAATTGCATTATAAATAATTTATGGTGGAGCCAACTAAATGAGTGATTTTAAGAATTGTACAGCTTTTGTGCTTGGAACTATATTGTTATAAGCTAATTTGAATAGACAATTTTAGTTAATAATTTATTTAAATTTATTAAACAAGTTGATATTGCATTTAAGTTTGAACTTCATTGTGGAGTTCTGTGACTAAAATTGAGCTTGTTTGCTTTCTCTTGCATGTTTTCTGTCTAATTTGCATCTGAAGCCTTTGAGCCATGTTCTCTTTTGCCAGAACAGTCACACAAAGCATAAGCCAGAGCAATTATTTTTGTAAATGACACGGTCGAAGCCTTCCAAATTGTTGACCTACTCACAAAAAAGGTGTCGGGTTTTATTCTGCACAAGTTGTCAAACTGTTTGCACAAAATCTACGACACTTTTACAGTACAAAAACTATAGAAAAAAAAAAACTAAAATAACAATTTTACAAACAACAATAAAGAATATACAAAACAAAAAAACAAGCAACTTGCATAATTTGTTGTTTTTTTCCTGCCACAAAAAGCCAGTCCAACTAGTTACACACTGTGTGTGTTTTTCGCATTTTATTACGAAAGTTTACATGACTATGCAGCTCTTTTGGCCATTGTTCTCATGACGGTAAATGTGTGTGTGTGTGTGTGTGTGTGTGTGCGTGTGTGCATGTGTTTATGTGCGTCTCTCTCTCGCTGTTTTTGTCATTTTTATAAGCTTTAAAATTGGTCTCAAAACTCTTTTGCATAAAATGCCCCAGGAACTGAGCTATTTGAAATTTATAAGGTGGAGCGACAGCAACAAAACGGCATATTATTCTTTTTGCATCAGTCCCCTCACCTTGTGTCTATTAGCAAAATGTGCTCAATTTGTGAATATATAGTTGACCTTTCGATAACATTTTTGTTGCCACCATTTTTAAAAGCAATGTCATGAATTTGGCAGCGCTCTGATTACCACGGAAATTTTGTGACACAATTGCAATGCGGTCGCCAATTGTCAGCAACAGTTTGGCTAACAAGCAGACTGGCACTGACAAACTTCGTCAAATTGGAAATAGCTGGGGGAAACCCAAGAAGGAAGTAAATACATGAATGAGTATTCACGGAAAAAAGCCACACTCGCTGGACAAGCAAAATGCATTAGAGGGTTGCGAATTGTGGCATCCAAAACTATCGCAAACTAAAATTGAGTTAAAGCTCAAAGTTTCCAAAGCTTTCGCTGCATCACTTTCTACCCTGTACTTGTGAAACTTGGCCATAATGGCTATCATCAAGTTGTGCTTGTAACAGGCAGAAGATGATGTCTAAGGGACCATAAATTAATATTTATTTTTGATTAAAATGCTGATATTTAATTTAGAAATCATAGATCTAATTACATGTGGGCTCAACTCGTACTGGGTACTGGGTATCTTATAGTTGGGAACTATCTCGACTAGAGCACGCGTATTTGGAATTCTTAGTGTTCTTTTTTGTTGTTGTGGCTTCAGTTTGACCACGAGTAATGCATTACAACAGCGTTCAACAAGCTCCGGAACATGAACAATGACCAATGTAATTAAGCAACTTACAAGCAACCCACAACACACGCACACATACGAAGCACACACACACACACATACGCAGCACTCACACAGCATAAGCATAGTCTCATGCTGATACATACGCATGTATTATTTGTCATGCATGCCAGCGAACATATATGTATATAGCATCATATTTAATATGCGATTTCTGACACCACTTTTATGGCGCATTGCACACCCTTCACCCCTTCACCTCCGCTTCAACGTCTACTTTATTCGCTCCCATAAAATGTGGCGTTGTCCATTCGATGGTCGAAAAGATAAAGGACGATGCTCATTTATTTGACTTACGCAAATGGATGAGCGTATGCACAGGCGTGTGTGTGTGTGTGCGTTTGTGCGTGAGTTGCCAAAATAAATGGCAGCTCATAAGGCCTCCTACAATACATACAAACACATGCACACATGTCATATTTTTAATGAAAGGCCGTGTGGACTTTTGGCCCAAAATTAAGAACCAAAATTGAACTTTGGTGAAACTCTGTCCCATGTACAGGC